TTTAAAACGAGTAAAACTCTAATAAACAAAACACTTATGCTAGTATATCATATCACTGATGATATTTTCAAAAAATAAACATAGTCATTTACCTGAGTAATAATTTCACCTGCTGCTTTGACTTCTTCTTCAAAATCTTGAAGTTTCTGATTTAACATGGTACCAAATATTCTTTTAATTTGACTCTCCTGATGAAAAAAAATTTTGTTTTAGAGAAACCAGATTTGTATCAGAGTTATATTTAATTCTTTGCGCTGCTAGCCTCAATTCTGACATACACCTTCTTTTAAAAAGCTTTTATCCTACCACAAGCACAATTGTATTACATGTTCTACAACTTTCTAAAACTGCATTTTTTCTTAAATAGTTAGGTGTTTTCTTTCTTTCCAAAATGCAAATATTTAATGCAGGTGACATTGTGCTAAATTTTTTGTCTTAATTGCCAATGTGTACTTTTCTTATAGAAAATCTAAAAACTTTACTATTTAAAAATTTACTTTAAGTGATAAAAATGTAATGTATCCTTTTTTAAGTCCACTCCATTGGTTTTAAATTTCAAGAATAAATACACGCTAAAGTCATTGAAAAAAAGTGCTGGCAAGAAATAGGTTAAGAGTTGTTTCTAACAATTAGTTAAAGTAATTCAAGATTGCAACAAATGCTTACAACTTGTGCTTACAAAAAATGTTAAAAATAACTTGCGCACAAAGTAAATTTAAATAGCTTTGTTGCAATACATACAAGTTTTAAACTGATTTTTCATATTTTATAAAAATCAGGTAAAAAAATTGTTTAAATTAACCAGATTTTTAGAATTTAAACGAACTTGTGTATCATCTGATGTGTCATTAATCTAGATGTCTAAAATTTTAAACAAAACAAATCAAGTTCCGAGTAATTGAATACAACAGAAGGATATTAGAAGGACAAAATGCTTCTTTTGATTATGGACACAGGCAGTATAAATGGATTTAAAAAAAATTTATGTTCATTTAAACAACTTTGGAATTCAGTTAAAACTATTCAAAAGTATTTTTAGACATGGTTCAGTTATTTATAACTTAAAATTAAATTTAAAAAAATCTGTTGAAAAATTGTTAATAAATTTAAAACAACAAAAACTTTCAATATCATATATTATTAAAATATTATAAAAAGTTTATTTCATAAAAATTAAAACAAATTTAAAAAAAAATTAAAAAAATCAGATTTAATTTACCTGAGGAAATGTCATGTTTATGAGGTTGAATCTACTTAGAAACCTATTTGAAATAACTGTTCTTCCACCACCAGGTGGACCCATAGCAGCTATTAAGAGCATGTCCTTCGAAAAAATTTTAAAATAAAAATATTTACAACAACAACTTGTGATAGATAATCACCCTCTCTCTCTCTCTTTATATATATATATATATATATATATATATATATATATATATATATATATATATATATATATATATATATATATATATATATATATATATATATATATATATATATATATATATATATATATATTTATATATATATATACATATATATATATATTATATTATATAATATATTATAAATATTAGCATTTAGCTAATTCCTGATACTGTGGGTAACAGTAATATATACCATATAGCTCTAGTTTATCTAATAAGCACTCTTTAAAATATACATTATTATACATGATAATATAAAGATACTATCCTTAATATTCAAATATGTACACTTACGTATTATATATATATATATATATATATATATATATATATATATATATATATATATATATAATATATATATATATATATATATATATATATATATATATATATATATATATATATATATATATATATATATATATATATATATATATATATATATATATATATATATATTTGAGTGGGTCAGAAGCCAAGGGGTACAAGTGACATTTTCATAGTTTTGAGATACTGCTGTTTAAAGTTAAAGTATTTTTGTTAAATATACTCAGCTGTTGTTATGTTTGCTTCTTCTAACAATTTTGTTTGCTTCTTCTATCAAATTCTATACTTAACTTAATTTTGGTAAAATTTGGTAAAATCACTTGTACCCCTTGGCTTCTGACCCACATATATATATATATATATATATATATATATATATATATATATATATATATATATATATATATATATATATATATATATATATATATATATATATATATATATATATATATATATATATATATATATATATGATAATAATAATAATAATAATAAAAGTAAATAATTAATCTAAAAATGATAATAAAATTATCATTTTTAGATTTATTACTTACTTTTATTAATGTAATAAATTAGCAAATATAGTTAACCATTTATAAAACAAGCTACAATCACTAATAACAATCAGAGCCACATCTAAAATCTTTCAAAGAATCAGTGAGAATACCTTAATACACTTTGTAGTTTGTTTCTGGCGATCATACCAAAATCCAAAATCAATCCATTGTCGTATTAATTCAAGTGGTGGCTGTGATCCATAAAAATCTTTGGCAGGCATGTTTAAATCATCCATAAAAGTAATCATCTGTTTTCCATCAATAGGAACATAAATTCCTATATTTAAAAAGTAAAGGTTTTTATTTTTTTAATTTTGTTTTACAACTAACTATAATTAAGCCCAGCTAAAAATTCACACAATATTTAACCTTAGTTTTAAAAGCTTACATTATATGCTGACTAACTGATCTGATATAGATACACACTAAATTAAACATGATTTTTGACTGTACACAGCTGTTATAGCCTTAGTAACATCTTAAATGAAACATTGAACAACTTAAATGAGACATAAAAAGCTAAAATAATCAACAACAGATGTTTACTTTTATAGATTGTATTTCTAATAACTGCGTCTGTACTTATCATAAGAGAAACAACACTTAGGATTTCCCAAAAATGTTTTTGATTTGTGCTGAAGCTTACCAGCTCTATTGTAGGCAAAGTATATGTTTACTTCAACATATATTTTTCAAATTAAATTATAGTTATTTGTTGGGATATTAATTTAACAGTTTACCAACAGATCTACCACATTCACAGTGACTAGTTGCTAGACTATCAGGGTATTGTAACAAATAGCACAGTGATAATTCTTCACCATGAAACTGACATACTAACTATTACAAAGGCATTACTACATTTTTTCTATCAATTTGATGACTTCATTAGTTTATTTGGTTTAGAAATTTGTGCCATCACATCCAAATGCTATCAATTTATTCAACAAAAGTAGTAAAGAAGTAATCTATATTTATTTACTTATTTAATTTTTGGTATTTGTTTGACTACATCATTTGCGAAATCAGGTACCATTTTTTATATTCACTAAAGCTTTATCCTTGCATCATTTAAAACCGAGGCATTATACCACATTTATATTGAATTCATATTTCAAATCAATACTTGATTATTTTACACCAAACTTTATTCTGATAAATAAAATTAGAATGATCTATTATTAGTCCAAAGTCTTCCAAAACTATTGATGTTACAGCTGCAGCTGCTCTGTCAGAGAGACTGTCTGTCCCATATAATACTGGCAAACTTAGCTGAAATACTGATGGTAGTTCAGTGGAGGATCCTCAGTGCCAAATATAAACTATAAATACTACCTTCAATTTCAGAATCAATATCTGCTCTCTCAGAATCTATATTTGCTCTCACCAGAAGGATCTGAACTCATACCCTCAAACATGCACAATCTATTACCAGTATCTTTTACGAATCTGATCTATTAGACCTGATAGTTGATTTTAAGCCATTATGGAAGAATCTATGTATTAATATGTAATAAAAAACGTTGTACACCTTTTTAAGCATATCCATATTATATATCTGAAATTAAACGTAGCATATTATATGTTACAAGCAAATTAAATTAATTTGCTCTTCCTAAATTATTAAAACTACTAGTTATGAACATGATACAATATTATTATGTTATTATTATATACAAGAGAAAAATGGTAAAAGCTCCTTTCCATGAAAAATATTTTTTTTGGTAAATAGGAGAACCAAAAGAATATAAACTTTTTTTAATATTTGTTGAACCTGAACTACAAAGCAATTTTTATTTTTTAGCTGAAACTTCAGTACAACTTAAAATAACGCACACAAAAATATTTTGGAACACTTAGCCTTGCATGAAACAGAATTGAGAAATATAGCCATCTGTGGAAGCTTCAATACATACATTAACTGAAAGTAAGGTTAGGACAGATATATGGCAGAGAAAAGTAAATACTGAAAATTATGATAAAAATAATAAACAAATTTTCTAAATCATAACTTTTTGAATTCATTTTTTTACTGTCTGTACAATAAAATATCAACATTATTTAGCAAAAAATAACTAAGAAAAAAAAAAAAAAATTAATTAAAAAAAAAAAATAAAAACATTTTTTGGAAATATTGAGAAACTAAAATACAAATAAAAAAAAACCTTTGGTTCTTTTTTCAACTTTGGTTTCAATGATTCGTTGCACATTATTAGAAGTAGTCTGCAATATGATAAAATTAAAAAAAAATAATAATAATAAAATAGTAAAATATAAACAGTCTGTAAACATTAAAAAAGAAAGTAACTGTTGCAATTTTGTTTAACTGTTACATTTTGTTAAAAAATATAAAAATTCTAAACTAATATTCAAAGAACAATAGTAGTAATTTAAAAAAACAAAAATTGAAGTAATATAAAAAATACTACTAATAATAAACATGTATCTTGATAAAACTTTTTAGATATACAAAAACTTTTTTTTTTTTTGTAGTTTTAGCAAATAAAAGAAAACAAGATTGAGATTTTTATCACAAATAATAAAAAAAAATCATTTTGAAAACAAAAGAAAGCCAAAATTCTTTTAAGTAAAAATTTTAATTAAATAATTAAATAATTTTTCTATAATAATCTTTATAATTGAGAAATTTTTTTTTTTTTAATATTTAGATCAATTCTTAAATCAAGTCTGTGAAATAAACAATCAGAGTAAAAATAAAGACCAACCTGAGCAGACATGTTTATAGTCAGCATAGACCATACATTGTTATCCAAGGAACCAAGTATTCTTTGAACAACAGATGTTTTTCCTGTGCCAACAGGTCCCGTAAGTAAGACAGGGCGTTTTATCTTGATTAATGTGTTTAACAAAAAATTGTAGCGAATTGAGTCAACAGTTGGAACCATAATTTTGTAGAATGGAACACTGAAAAATTATACTTCAAATAAATATTCAATTCATTTAACAAAAAATTAATTTAAATATAAAAAAAATCAATAAAATACTTTAGATCTCCTAACATGCTTTAATCTTAAACATCATTTTCAAAAAATTATACAATTTTATATCAAATGTGTTTACATAGCATTCCCTGAACCTAAACTTCTAACCTCTTGAATTATTTTTTCTTTTAGAAAAATCAGACCTTTTTTAACATTATACTTCCTCAAATTATTTAAATGGGTAACTGGGAATTTTTTTTTTAATTTTTATTTGTGATGGTGTTAATGATGATGTTATCTGTCTCCCTACTGACAAATGTTTTTCAAATTTGAATTTGATCTTTTGAATTTGACTAGATATAAAAGCTTTTTCAGCTTTAAATTCCAACAAGTCAGGTCTTTGTGTTTTTTTTTTTATGCAGCTTTAAATTAAATCCAATAACTCAGGTCTTTGTGTTTTTTTATGCAGCTTTTAATTTCATTACTTTTATTTTATCATCAGAGATATCATCATTTTCATCCCAGTGAAATCAGTACAAAAAAGAATTGTTGTTAAAGCTCATTATTCTCAGATTAGTATTTTTAAACTTTATCAATAAGTTAAGCCCCAAAGACTTTTATAAAACCTATAATATCATTATTAATAAAACCAAATCTAATAAATCTTTTTTACCTTGTTTGGTGTAAGATTAAATTATCAGCAAAAATATTTTCCTCCCATTCAACTTTTGATTCTAATAGGTTTGCATTTCTTAACATTCCTGATAAACAGGTTAACAGACATTTTAATTTCAAGCAGGTGAACCTTTTGTCTGACACTTTAATCAGTTTTGCTTTGGCTAAAATTACTTCTCATTGGGACTCCTACAGCTTATTGTTCAGGCAAAATTTATACTACATTCATAAAAATTTTAAAAAAGAAAAAAACTAAATGGCTTTTAACATATAACATGTAAGTAATAGTATAAAACTATAAGCAACCACAATGAAAATAATAGTAATAAATTATAAGCAACCACAATGAAAGTAATAACTAGTAACTTATGATTTGCAATTAATAAATGGTAGCTAATGACTTGTAACTAATGACTCATAACTAATAACATGTAACTAATGATATAAAACTAATGACTTCTAACTAATGACTTGTAAATAATGACTAGTAATTAATGGCTCTACCTGAAGTAAAATTTTATATTAATACATAACATAAGTAACTTTGTTTGAAGTTGTTAAAAAACATAAAAAATGTATTTAAAGATTAGCATATTTCTAAAGCAAAAGTTTTTTGTTTAATAAAATTAAAATCTAAAATACAAATCTTTTTTTTTATAATATGGCTGTTACATTATTAGAAATAACAAAATTGTTTGAGGACTACAAAAAAGAATTTGAGTTGATGTTAAAACAACAAGAAAAAGTTTTTATTGATATTATTAGTGGAAACTTGAAAATATTTAATGGCAGGTTGGAAAAAGTAGAAAAAGACATCGAAGAATTGAAACTTAGTTTAAACTTTCATGAACAACTAATTGATGAAAAAGTTAAGAAAGCAAAGGTTTGCAGTAAAGAAGACAATTCAGAAAGTATACAAAAAAAGTTAAGGGAATTGGAAGATCGATCTAGACGTAACAATTTAAGAGTAGATGGAATTGATGAAAATGAAGGTGAAAGCTGGGAAGAAAGCGAAATGAAGGTAAAAAAATTTTTGAAGATATATTATCAGTTAAAAATGTCCAAATTGAACGGGCCCATAGAACTGGAAACAAAAAATTAAAAATGCCGAGGACAATAGTGATAAAACTTTTAGATTTTAGAGATAAAGTCGCGATCTTGAGCAAGTCGAGTAAGCTAAAAGGGAAAAACATTTATATAAACGAAGACTTCTGTTTTGGAACAACACAAATCAGAAAAAATTTGAGGGAGAAAATGAAAATTGAACGAGCCGCTGGTAAGTTTGCCTTCATATCTTATGATAAATTGATAATTCGCGATTGGGTTGCAAAGAAAAGCAAAAATTTATCTTCATAATAATTGGCATTAATTAACGCAATTTTATTTTTATTATTACTACGCATATTTAATTAAACTGTTTTAAAAATGGAGGAAAATGTCATATTTAAATCTTCTAATGAAAATGACATCATCGGTGATAATGACACCGACTCTAATTATTTTAATCACAAAATGCTAGAAAGTCAATACTACTCAGTTTCTGAATCTTCGCAATATCTAGGACAAACTAAAAACACTTTTTCAATTTTAAATATCAATATTCGAAGTTTAAATAAAAACTTTGAAAATTTAAAAATTTTATTGGATGAAATTAAACACGATTTTAAAATTATATGTTTGACGGAAACTTGGTGTAAATGCGGTGAAACAAATTATGAATTTGAACTAGTTAATTACACATCAATTCACCAACCACGTGAAGTTAATGCAGGTGGGGGCGTTAGTATTTTTATCCATAATTCAGTTAATTATATTTTACGTAACGATCTCTGCGTCAATGAAACAGATTATGAATCATTGTGCGTCGAATTAGTAAATAATAAAGAAAAAAACATAATTATAAATACTACATATAGACCACCATCTGGAAACTTAAAGAAATTTAAAACTCATCTTAAAACATTTCTTAACAAAATTACAAATTCGAGAAAACATATTTATTTGGTGGGGGATTTTAACATTAACCTGATCAACTATGCTTCAAATAATAATACTAAGAATTTTATAAATACTCTTTTACAATATAACTTTATCCCAACAATAAACAAATCAACAAGAATAACAAATAGGTCTTCTACTCTACTTGATAACATTATAACTAACAACTTTCATAATAACCCTCTTTACACAGGTATAATCCAGACCGATTTATCGGATCATTTTCCTACATTCTTAGCTACAAATAACATTTTAATTAACAATATTTCCACAAAATCCATAATAATTCGGCGACAGATCAATGAAAACTCCTTAAAACAATTTAAAAATTGTTTAAAAAATTGTGTTGATTGGAATCTAGTACTGCAATCAAATGAGGCTAACAATGCATATGACTTGTTTCTTAATCAATTTTGCAAACAATATGAAATAGCGTTTCCAGAAATTAAAAAAGTCATAAATACCAAGTCACTTCAAGCTCCCTGGATGTCTAAAGGCTTACTAAAATCTTCAAAAAAGAAAGAAAAATTATATATAAAATATCTTAAAAAAAAAACTTATAAAAATGAAATAACTTACAAAAATTATAAAAATATATTTGAAAAAACCAAAAAATACTCAAAAAAACTATTTTATGATCAATTATTAAAGAAAACCAACGGAAACACTAAAAAAATATGGAATTTAATTAAGGATTTAATTGGAAAAAATAAATATAACAAAAGCACTCTGCCAAAAAATCTTTTAATTAATGGAGAATTAGTTTATGAAAAATCAATTATAGCTGAAGAACTAAACAACTACTTTGTTAATATTGGCCCGAATTTGGCTGCTAAAATATCTACTAATTCCATTCCATTTGATTCATACTTAAAAACTTATGATAAACTTATGGATGAAACTGATTTAAAACTGAGTGAGTTGAGAACTGCATTTAGCAGTCTCAAAAGTAAAAAAAGTGAAGGTTTTGATAAAATTAGTGTTGATGTTGTCAAATCAGTATTTGAAGTCATTGAACCTTCTTTATTTCACATTTTCAATCTCTCATTAAAGTCAGGTATTGTTCCTAATAAATTAAAAATTGCCCGTATAACACCAATTTTTAAATCTGGAGATAAGTCAAATATTTTAAATTACAGGCCTATATCAATCTTACCTTGTTTTTCAAAATTGCTAGAGAGAATAATGTATAACAGACTTTATAATCATCTAACTGAGAACGACATGTTGTATTGTAAACAATTTGGTTTTAAAAAAAAAAATTCCACTGAACACGCAGTAGTTGAACTTTCCAATCAAATATCTAATGCCTTAAATAATGACTGTTTTACATTAGGAGTTTTCATTGATCTGTCAAAAGCTTTTGATACCGTAAATCACTATATACTAATAAAAAAACTCGAAAACTACGGTGTAAAAAATAAAAACTTACTTTGGTTCAAAGATTATCTGACTAACAGAAAGCAATTTTTATACTATAATAAAAATAATACAATTCCACACTCCATAACTTGCGGGGTTCCTCAGGGTTCTATTTTAGGACCACTTTTATTTATATTGTACATAAACGACTTATACCTATCAACAAATCTTTTAGACCTAATTTTGTTTGCTGATGATTCAAATCTTTTTTGTTCTCACAGAGATATTAAATCACTTTTTAAAATAGTTAACGAACAGTTATGTAATGTTAGTGCATGGTTCGTAAGTAATAAACTTTCACTAAATGCGGAAAAAACAAAATATATGCTTTTCCATAAAGTAAATAAATCAGAAAATATTCCTCTTAAATTACCAGATCTTAATATTAATAAAACTTATATTAAAAGGGAATCTTACATAAACTTTTTAGGAGTAAAATTGGATGAAAATTTAAAATGGTGTTCACATATAAATAGCATTGAAAAAATAATCTCAAAAAATATTGCAATGATGTTTAGGGCTAAACCCTTTCTAAATATATCATCTCTGAAAAAATTATATTTCGCCTTTATTCACAGTTATTTGTCTTATTGTAATGTTGTGTGGGCTAGTACTAGTCATACAAAACTAAAGAAACTCTACAATAAACAAAAACATGCATGTAGAATAGTATTTGGAGCCGACAGAAATGTTCCTTGCGAACCACTTCTAAGTGTGCTCGGTGCTTTAAATGTATATAAACTTAATTTACACCAAGTTTTATTGTTTATGTTTAAAACAAAAAAGGATTTGTCTCCTAAAATATTTCAATCTTATTTTAATAAAATTAACCATAGGTACTCAACAAAGTTTTCAGAAAACAATTTTGTTGTTCCAAAACATAAATTAAAATTAACTTCCTATTCAATTAAATACCGCGGACCTTATCTGTGGAAGAAATTTCCAGATATTGTTAACAAAAATCAGACTACATTAGAGCAATTTAAGGATGAATCAAAACGATTATTATTGTTCATGGATCTCAATAAATCCGACTTTAAATGTTTATTTTAAAGTAAACACAATAAAAAAAAATTAAAAAAAACAGATTCAATTATATCAATGATATATGATAATATGAATAAGAAAAGAAAGAAAAAGGAAAAAAAGAAAAAAAAAAAAAAAAAAAAAAAAAGAATAAGAAATCTAAGTGATGATGTCACAAGTGATGATGTCATAAGTGATGATGTTACATATTCATTTAGTGTTAATTATGAGATTTTATTTTTTCAATTTCTTTTATATTTTTATATTATATATTTTTTTTTTTTTATATTAACTTATTTCTTAAACATTTTAGCAACTGTTAAGCATCTTAACGCTTCTTAATTAATTCTTATTTTTTATTTTTTTTATTATATTAGTTATTTTCTATTTCATTTCTAATTGTTTCTTTTATATATATATTTGTATGTTACGGTTATGTAGAATTTTTAATGGGGCTCGGCGATAAGGCGAAATGTGCCTTCTTCTTGCTCCAGCCATCAATTTATAAAAATGTATATGCAATGTAAAAATGTAAAAAAAACGGCGAAATAAATTACACTAAAAAAAAAAAAAAAAAAAAAAAAAAATAAAGAAGAAAAACAATAGAAAAGTAAAATTTACTTAGGAGGTATTCGCCAGCCAGAACGAAGTTGATCTTCCCAAGATGTCCAACATTTTTGTTTAGGATCAACATAGTACTCATAAACTGTATCCTTTAAAAAATATATACATGTAAAAAAAATTTAAAAATTTGAATAATTTTTATATGAATGTTTCTTCATTTACAAAAATAACTTATGAGCTGTTTAATTATCAAAACAACATAATTTATGTATTCTTAAACTACATCTTTTTCTTATTTTTAAAAAAGAAAATACATGAAACTGGAAAAGTGGCATTATGGGATGTCATTTAACCTACATATGCAAAAAAAAATGTCTGTTAAAAATAATCTAATGTTCTCAAATAAAATAAATATTATGGATTACAGTAAAAAATACTGTTAACTATTCGAATTTCAAATATCAAAATTTAATAATTTAAAATGTCAAATAAGAATTTACAATACTACCTAAAAGTTTTATTTTTGGTTCTTTTTTTAAAATTAACTTTTTTTGAACTTGCAAACCAGTTTATGAATATGCAAACTGGTTTGCAAAATATTACAAAATAAAAATATAAAATTAACCTTAGCAGGAAATTGTCCATCTAAATCACGTAATAAATTATCAATCTTCTTTCTACTGTCTTCATCCACTGAGGCACATACTGACCATATTAGAGAAAACAAAAACCAAAGTTCAATCATTTTTGGAAAATTTTCAGCATCAATTGGAGTAACCTTGTTAATTGAAGTTATAAGAATTAAAAAATGAAACTTTTAGTAATAAAATTACAATTATCTTATGTAATACATAAACTGAAATAATACAAACTCCATTTTCTTCAGTAAGCAAGCCATCAAGAAGTGCACAAAGAGATGCAATAGAGTTTAGTTCTGATACTGATACCAACTCCACACAGTTAGCTTTTTTGAAATCAATAACTCTTTGGACATATTTGGTGAACAACAATTGTAAAACTGTCTCACTTGCCTAAAAATTTAGTTGGATTGAAATAAAGATGTTATTTAAAACTAATGAATAAATAATTAAATAGTATAAATAAACAAGTACGGATGAAAATTTCCTGTAAATTTTCAAAAAAAAGATTTTATTTTAAAATTAATTATTTTTAAAATAAGATGTTATTTTATAAAAAATGGTAAAAATGTATGACTTATTTATGCAGTTATGGACAATATTGTGAAGCAGTGAAAGACAATTATTTTGGTATTTTATTGAGTTTTTGTTATTGAAACTATAAATAGCAACTATGATCATATGTTTTCAAAATTTTTAAAAATTGTTTTACCCTATTATTTTCTAAGCATATTGACATTCATTGCCATAGCAAGCTTTGTTTAAGGCTAAACATAATAAAGGGGAAGGGGCACTTTTCAATGTCTTTTAAATTTGTCTAAAAGTTACTGAAAACTGTAAAATTGTTTATAGCAAAAACTTGATTGAATATTTACAGTATTTTACAACTTTTTCTTGATTTAACGACGCTATTGATTGATAAAAAATAAAAAGTAAAGAAACATTTTTGCTAAGGTCATAAATTCCGCTGCTATGTTTAAATAAATGCTTTTAAAACAAGGTTGTGGCGAGTCTCACTTGCCACAACCTTGCTAGGGTGTTTTTGACTTAATAAAGGGTACAAACATGTTATAGCTTAAAAGCTACAAACATGTTATACACAAGCTCAAAAGCAAGCTAACTTATATAAGCATGTTATACACAAGCTCAAAAGCAAGCTAACTTTCATTGTTTTACAAAATAATATATTACAACTTGAGCATTTTTTGCTTTTTTAAAAAAATGCGCATTTCTTAGATTAATAAACTTGATTATAAAAATTTGATTAAAAGATGTGTATTTTTTGTTTGTGGGTCTTTATTATTTTAAATTTTTGGTTGAAATATTTAAAGAATACCCAAATACTACAATAATAAAAAGCATATTTTAGAAACAAAGAGGTGAATTTTATAAAACTATATAAGTTTATTGCAATAAAAATGTTTTAAAATTTCTCAAAAAATTTCCAGAAAATTTATAGTTGTTTATATATATATATATATATATATATATATATATATATATATATATATATATATATATATATATATATATATATATATACTCTTGCATGGTAGTTGAAAAGAGTTTCCCATAAACTGTAGTTTTAAAGAGCGCGTTATTAAACCAGACCAGAAAAAATTTAAAAACTTAATTTTTTTTTTTTTTTTTTTAAATAATAGACTGCCTGCCCAAACCAAACCCTCAGTCGATGTAGCAGCACTCCCTTGCGAGTCAGGCTATTTGTCAGTTGTTGTAGCAGCACTCCCTTGCGAGTCAGGCTATTTGTCAGTCGATGTAGCAGCACTCTGTTGCGAGTCAGGCTATTTGTCAGTCGATGTAGCAGCACTCTGTTGCGAGTCAGGCTATTTGTCAGTCGATATAGCAGCACTCCATTGTGAGTCAGGCTATAAGATAGTTGATGTAGCAACATTTACGCATGTTTTAAAAATGTTTTTTAATAAAAAAAAAACAAAAACACTACTAATTAAAAAAACTTTCTAGTCGTTATTATTGCGGTTTTTTAAAAAATTTTTAAAAAACAATAAAATTTAATGTACTTCCACATTAATTTAATTGCTTTGACATTTCGACGACAATCAAATACAGCTTAAGAGACGAGGTAATTAAAATTGTAGTCGAAAGAGACTTTTTTTTACATTAAAAGACTCTTTCGACTACACTATAAGGATATATATTTATTTATATATATATATATATATATATATATATATATATATATATATATATACAAATTTACACTATATAAACAAAAAATATATATAACAAAAATATGTGTATGTTTATAAAAATATGTATGAACCATATTTTCAAAATACTTTAAAAATACTCATACTTTATCATTCCTTTTTTCTAACCAAGAAGATAAAAATGGTTGCCAACCAAGATCAGCATAATCAGTGTAAACCATACCACAACGACTTACTGTAGCTGGAGATGCTACTGAAAGATTTTCACATTCAAATAATAAAGACACCTAAAGATGAATTTAACTTTTACCTTCAAACAAATATATAAGTGCTCACACATTATTGAAAAATAAGAGTTTATAAATTTAGTGCACATTTAGAAAGAAAAAATACATCTATTAATACTAATATATTTTTAACAGCTTTTTTTATGTAAGAGTTGTTAGGGCTTTTATAATTAAAATCATAATTCTTATATACACTTACCTGTTCTGGTAGAGATATGCGTTCACCATTTATTAATGTGAGCACTTTATTATCATCCATTACAGAGTTCATTGATTCTATCCATAGAGTATCAACTGGACCATCAAATACTATCCATTTTTCATCTGGTTTCTCATCTAGTTTTAGGCAAATTAAATCAAACCATTTTTTAAATTAATTAGAATGCTTCACAGAGTGTGTGAAGCAACACAAACAGATATATACAAGGTGTCCCAAAATTAACGAAAGATTTAAATTTGCCGCCATTTATGTAGTAAAGTGTTGACAACCCTAAAAAAACAAAACAAATCGACAGCTGTCTGTTTAGGGCTAGTAAAAATGGAGCATTGCACGTATCTTCATTATTGTCGTGTCTTCATTATTGAACAATATTTCAAACAAAAATGAAAGCTTGGCAGCCGCAGTTTCAAAATTTCATACAAAATATGGTCGGAATAGTGTTTTAACTTTGTCAACTGTGAAGAGAATAATTAAAAAATTCCAGGAGACAGGATCCGTTGGGGACAACAAACACACTTGTTGTCTAAAAACAAGTTGTTTAAATGTCAAAAACGAAGAAGTGCCTGAGAATGTTGGTGACAATCCAGGGACCTTAGAGGACAAGAAGTGCAAATTTCAAGAAGCTCCCTGAAGCATATATTAACTAAAGATGTATGTCTCCATGCTTACCAAATTCATTTAAAACACATCAACTGAAGCCTACACAACAACTGAAGCTT